GACACTGTATGAGCATATGAAATGGATCCTCTATATAACATCACAGGATAGTTTTAGAATTTTGGGGAATTAAATGTTTACTTTAAAGATACTCTGGTGGGCTACTCTTTAGCTAAGGCTTTAATGAACATTGCTTACAGAAAACTCTTATATGGATTAAGGTCTATATGTATGATATTCAGGTTTTCAAAAGCATTAAAATATGCATTATAAATGTTCAATATATTTAGGTTTAGCCAACTGTGTCCTGGCTCTTGGATTTGAAAAAATGGAAAGAGGATCTCTTACATCTAAAGTAAGTGTTATAAGAATTTCTGCTGCATTGAGGTAAAATTTAATTTAGGTTGCATATTTTGAAAATGAGTAAGAAGAATCCATCTTTCTCATACATCAACTGGAAGAAGTTTCCATAAGTTCCATCAATCTAGAAATAATGTTCATACCAATAATGCAGATTTTATAATAAGCATAAGGTGGCTTTGGGGGGAGACTAGAAATTTTTTATAAACCTTTAGAAAACTAAGAGTCTTCAGACTTCTGTTCCTCAGGACAGGGGAATACCCAACCATTTTTAATCTATAGTAGGAAGTATCTTGGTATCATTCCCCCAGATGATGTGTTAGGTAATGATATCCAAATGTCTTTTCCCCTCAGTTACCTCAGAAGTATCAATGAAATTAACTTTTCCCACCACTCAGTGATATGTGCTGCTGCTAGAAAAATGTGATTTTTAAAATCAGCTGTGCTTTCAGTTTTCTTCTGTTCATTGCCTAACCCCATGTGAGCAGTATGGCTGAGGTATCATCATTTTTTTCCTCCTTGAATGGCCTGGGGAAACTGTGTCCGTTCAAGGAATGAGCTAGCTGTAGCCTTGTGTCATAAAATATGGTAGGGCAAGTGAATGATTCTAAGCAGAGAAGTGATGGGGGAGGAAGTGCTGGACCCTTCCACTTTTCTCCCCTCCCAGCTCATGTTTCTCTCTGTAGCTTTCTCATTGTCACTACCTGCCCTTCAGTTGACAGCCCAGGTCATTTGCCCCAGGTTCAATGCTATTGGGAAGCAGTTTCCGCACAGCGTTGTGGTGCATTTATGAACTTTCTGGGTTTTCTCCAGTCTTTCTCAAAACTTCTTTACTGCAGTATTTCCCAAAACTTCACAGCAAAGCTTGGATGTTGGCCATGTGGATGTGAAAGTTTAGCTTTTCCCTGCCATGTGGCAGCTGTTCACCCTACCCCTGTCTCTGCATTTCTTCAATGCTTTTTCTCCCTGCCATGAGGGGGACTAGTTTTCTTAATTGGCAACTGAATATTGTTATAGCGATATAACATTATAACTATGTGTCGCGATTCTTTTATTTCCCTAGTTTTATCTTTAAAAAAAAAAAAAAAGCCTTTCCTTTCATTGCGGAGATATAAGCGACAAGGTATGTTTTTTCATGAAAGAGGCTAGAAACTTTTTATGAAAGCTGGGAAGTCAGAGAACCTGATACATGTAACAATGTATTGATATAATGATATTCAGTTGTAGATTAAAAAAAAATATATGAAAAGGCCCCCCAGTGATCGGGTGGGAGCAGCTCCTACCGGCATCCTAGGGCAGGAAGAATGCAGGCGAATCTGCCCTGTGAAAGCTGTGTTGCTGCTGTACTGTATTGGCCACTGCAGTAGCAGTGGGGAAATGACAGAGCCTGTTTCCGTGCAGAAACCATCCTGCAGGGTGAAGGGGGGACTGTAGAAGACTGTTGAAAGAATGAAGCAAGATGCAAATGAAAGCTACAGCTGCTACTAGCAGGTCTTCTTTTCAAGGGACAGCAGCCTCATTAGGGGCTCTCAGGAGTTTAGGCTATTGCTCACTATGCATTGCTCACTGTGAATATCTAAGTAAATATGAATACTATGCTCATTTACTATAAGTTGCCTAGTATTAGAGACAAACTTGAATGGCTGTTTGTGTTCCAGGGCAACTTAAATGTAGCATATATAAGGAACTTTGTTGTTGTTGTTGTTTCTTTACCTTTAAAATTTATTTTTCTAAAAACTGATTACTTCAGATTACCTCATATAGTGGGAGTTCCCCCTTTCACTGCAGCCCACTGAGTACTCTGCAGTTTCGTTCTGGTAGTGGGTCAGTGGAGCTTGAGGAACAGCCTTGGTGTGGCGTGTCAAAAATAAGGCCTAGGAGCTGGAATCCAGGTCTGTTATGCAGCCCGCAAGCAAGTAGAGAAAAGGAGGGGACAGGAGACAGCTCAGGGGGGAGTGGGCGGAGCCACTCTGATTCTGGCTTTAGCATGGCGGAACCCGATGTGGCTTCAGCATGGCTGTCAAGCAGCGTGGGAGCATCTGCCCAGTGCTGCACTGCTGCCTCTCCAGTCCGCCCATATGGGTATTCCTCTACACCCTCTTCCCAGCTCATGGGGCCTTACAGTGAAGGTACACCAACTCGGAGCTTACCAGCTGCTGTCCTTTATTCAGTTTATATCTCTGGTACCTGGCATTATATTTTATGGCACACATGGCCCGGGCTGATGAAGTGACATTTATGTCAGACCTGGCCCTCGTAACTAATGAGTTTGACACCTATGACCTTGAGGGCAAAGTAGAATTCTGCAGTGGGAGGGAGGAATCAGAGGAAATGGCTGTTCTGTGTTCTCAGGGTGGAAGTATTCTTAAGTCTTTGGAACTGCACAATTGAATGTAAGTCAGCATGTGCATATGTGACTGTTCCTTCCAGGAGCGCTGAATAAAAGGGTGGAAATTTTAAATTTGAAGTAGAATGTACTGCCAGAAGATTAAATACTGGAATTGCAAGAAATTTGAAAAATTCAGTTACTCTGTGTTAGTTTAGTGCCTTCTTGAATAGCATCACCAGAGTTAACTAAATTGTAAGCGCTTCTCTTTTTGCTGGGGCATTTCCGTTGGCAGGCTACTGTGATGATGGTCTGATATGGATGTGGTTGTACCCAAGTTAATGAGAGGATTCTCAAAATATTTGTTTCTGTTTTGTCTGATATTAGTTTGCTAAGTATACAAGTGCATTTTAATTTCAGTTCATGGACAGGGAGAATCCAGTGGGCAAGCACGTGGAAGTGATAGTAAACAAATATGGCTTAGCAGCAGCGCCAGTTGCTTCACAGATGTTTGGAAATGCTGGAAAAGAACACATGGAGAAATATGGTACTGTTCATAAGAAAATTGCTATCATATAAGAATATTGTACTTTTCTTTTTCAACATAAGATTAATGTTTTGTATCCTCTATCATTAATAGTAGCAGAGGTGAAGGCCCCTGTATAGAAATATAGACTGAGTTCAGGCTGTGGGATGTGGCTCATATTGAAAGGATCTAGGAATTTGGTTGCTGTGGTTCCTTCATAAATTATGAAATAGGCCTGGGTTAATGTAGTTATGTAGTAACTCTTGAAGTATCCTGAGAACAGAGTTTGAGTCCAGTAGTACCTTTAAGACCAACAAAGTTATATTCTGGGTGTAAGTTTTCATGTGCATTCACACTTCTTCAAGTATCTGCATGCAAATGAAAGCTTATACCCAGAATAAAACTTTGAGGATCTTAAAGATGCCACTGGACTCAAACTTGGTTCTGCTGCTTCAGACCAACACAACTACCCACCTGAATCTATCCTGAGAATTGCAATCAGTAAACTGTCTTGGGTATTGGTTTGAAATGAAGCAAGGATTGTTGATGAAGAACTCAGAATAAAACAATCTTTTGTACTAAGGATTCCAATTAATCTCACACAATGGTAATATTATATCATTTCCCCAATGCAACTTTTTAGGGACCAAAGTAGAACACTTTGCAAAAATTGCATGGAAAAACCATAGCCATTCAACCAACAATCCGTGAGTACAATGTTTTATTCAAAATTCTAGTAAGAATTCAATTTGGGAGGGTGGGAAATTACATTTCTAAGAAACTGTGTAAAACAGTGACTTTCAATGCTGTCATTATTGAAGGATATCTACTTTTAAAAAGATAGAAAATTGCTAGATAGGGGAATCTGGCTATTACCCATCAAAGCCAAATGGAATCTCCATGTTTGGAGACAATGGGTTGGGTCCTGTGGATCTTTTCTGCTCGTGGAGGCATCAGAAGCACTCCACTCATAGAACAGATGGGCAAGAAGCAGCCTAACAGCTCTCTGGATAGAAGGCGCAAACATAGGAAGATCTTTGCCACTTTGTCCTCCTGCAGAGCTCCTGGATGTGTCTGGCAAGTTGTAGTTAGAAAGATTATCTAGATTGACCCTGATCTAGCCAAGCAGTTTTTTGTGTTAAAATGAAACTGTTTTTGATTTTAAAATAGAATACAATACCTTTTGAAATATTAAATTGGCATTTTTATGTTTTTCTTAGGAATTCCCAGTTTCAAAAGGAGTACAGTTTAGAAGAAATCTTACAGTCACACAAGGTTTTTGACTTCTTGACAGTTTTACAGTGTTGGTAAGACTGATGTGTTAGTATTTATGTATGCTCCATGTCTCAGTTGGAAGGATATGCACAGTGCTTCCCCCTGTACATGAAGGCATGTACCCCATCTCTGTATATATCTGCAATGTTACCTATTATATGTAAAAGCCACACTACCATTTTGTTTTAATTTTTCAGGCTGTATGTTTAAGTTGCAAGGAGTTTTGATGGAGCATGGGTCCTGTATCACATACCTACAGGGCATGATCTGGCTGTAATTAGCACTCTTAAGTTTGATTTCAGTGGAATATACTGCATGTTTAATTCTGCCATTGAAAACAATAAGATTGGAAAGTGTTTTAACTATGGCTACATTGTGCCTGTAGATTGTGTGTCTGTGTATTTAAAGACTAGCATCATGGCCCTCAAACACATGTGACATGCAGGTTACGTGTCTTATAACTTCCATTATATGTGAAGTAGCCCTTGTTTGGAGACAAATCAAGGAGATGGAGTCAAGCTCTCTGCCAGTAGATTCCTTCCAGTCCAGCTTCTGACTGGGGTTCGGGACCGAAACAGCTCTGGTCGCTCTGGTTGATGATCTCCAATGACACCTTGATGCAAGCGGGACAGCGCTACTGATCCTGTTGAATCTATCAGCAGCCTTTGGCACAGTAGACCACTTGGTCCTGGTCAACTGCTTAGCCTCCTTGGGGGTGAGAGTTACGCCCTTGAGCTGGTTCTCCTCATTCCTCCAGGGTTGGTCCCAGAGGGTAATCGAAGGTGGAGACAGGTTGTCACCACGAGCTCTAACTTGTGGAGTTCCACAGGGGTTGATTCTCTCCCCAGTGTTATTTAGCATCTATATGTGCCCTCTGTTATTTAACAACTATATGCCCCCCATCAATATGTAGATGACACCTAGCTCTGCCTCTTATTTGAGAATCAGCTGGTGGTTGGAATTCCAGTCTTGGCCTCCTGCCTGGATGCAGTTGGGAAAGGCCAAGGTGAGTTGGGCCACTTCCACACTGTCATTTTTGCTCCTCATTTTTCCCTATTGCTTTGGGGCCCCCCCCCCCCCCTTCCACATGTGTTTTGCTCCCTCTGGGACTACTAGAGAGAGCAAAACACATTTTTTGGGGGGGGGAACCCTGAAGCAATAGAGACAAACAAGACAAAAATGACAGTGCGGAAGTGGCGGTTGAAGTTAAATCAATCTAAGACAGAGGTTGTGTGGCTGGAGAAGCCCAGACTGTCAGGGTGGCCACTTTTGCCAACCCTTGATGGTGGTCCAAATTTCTACGGTCAACTCTCTCTAGAGTTTGAGGGTGTGGCTTGATTTTTGCTCTCCATGGACAAATGTAACCTTGGTGACAAAGACTTGTGTTTTACCGTTTATGCTGGGCCTGCCAGCTAGTTCCCTATCTGTCTCAGGTGGGCCTTGCCACAGTAATTCATGCAACCGTCACCTCAAGACTAGACTACTGAAATGCACTCAACACAGGGCTACCTGCAAGTGGTTTAGAATGCAGCTGTCAGATTGCTGACAGGAGCATCCCAGTAAGTGCCTATAACCCCTATCCTACGGCAGCTGCACTGGCTCCCAATTTGTTTTCAGTGCCAATTCAAAGTGTTGGTACTTATCTTTAAAGCCTTAAATGGCCTGAGACCCTCATACCTTTGGAACTGCCTCTCCCATCTTAATCCTCCCTGACTTTTCCAATCTTCGTATCAGAATTTATTGGAGGTCCCTGGTTCACAAATGGTCTGCCTTGTGTGAACAAGGGTGAGGGCCTTCTCAGCAGTGGCCACTGTCGTGTGGAACCAGCTGCCTGAAGAGGTGTGTGCTTTGTGGGACCTCCCTAGGTTCCACATGGAATTCAAGGCCTTACTTTTTTGTGCGGTCTTTGTGCAATTGTGATCCATCAGGCAGCTGGTAAATTATGCTCCAGCTGTGTCTTCACCATCCATGCATCCTACCCTGCTTGATAGTGGATAGATTTTGACCGGGATAGGTTTTTAATAATTTTATATTTATAAAGTTTATTTATTGTGTTGTTTGTACTGTTTTATTGGGTGTATTTTATATGTGATTAGCCGCTTCGAGTCCCATTCAGGGGAGAGGGACAGGATATAAATTTTATAACACAAATAATAAACAAATAAAGTTTCTGCTATGCCGCGTAAAACCAGACAATCTTTCTGTGACTTTGAAGTGCTCTCTGTGACAAAGCACGTTAGATCCTATGATCTGTCAGCTGAAATCATTGGCTGTTGCATTTCATCCCAGCTTTCCCCTCCTCCTAGCATCCAGGTCTGATGGGAAAACTTATTAGAGAGGTTGCAGGACCTGTGTGGAATAATCACTGTGCAAGTTTGGAGGCTGCAGTGGGGCTGAGAGGGATGGAATAGCTCCTGTGTAGCTGTTTCTCAACATGATTCTGCAAGCCCAAGAATAAACTTCCTAATGTTAGGAGTAGCTGCTGTGGGAAGGTGAGACCTGGGGAAATCTGGCATTCTTGCATGGACCTTGCGAAGGTTCTTGCACCCAACCCAATATTTAGAACGTCTGGAGTAAAACTTTTAATAAATTTATATCACGAACAATATTTACTTAATTCAAGTATGTTCATTTTATGTCTTCAGTTTTTATTTCAATGCAATGTCATTATTCTCCTTTGGGCTAATTGGCAACTTCTGTTTTGCTCATCTTGCATTTTCATTACACATTTCTCTTCTTCAGCAAAAAAATGAAATGATTGAATAACTTGTAATTTTTATATCTCTTAGTCCAACATCTGATGGTGCAGCAGCTGCAATACTGGCTAGTGAAGAATTTGTGAGGAATAATGGATTAGAGTCAAAAGCTGTTGAAATTGTGGCTCAAGAGATGACTACTGATTTTCCAAGCTCTTTTGAAGAAAATAGCTGTATTAAAGCAGTAAGATGTATATTTAATCTGTGCATTTGGCTACACTGGTACTTGCATTCAATAAGTGTGTTAGAGCCTTCTCTCTCTTTTTTTTTTTTTTTAAAAAAAAGGTATTTGCAAATGTCACACAAGGTGCTGGCAACCACCTACAAGATCACTGTTATTATTCTGTGTGATAGCTGTGCCTTTGACTCATGGGGATTTATGTGATGGGAAGAGCAGTATTACTCATATTGATCAGTTCAGTTATAGAGCCATGCTCCGAATCCAACTGTAGAGTTCATGCATTGTTAAGGGGAACATAGGTAGATAGCTATGGGAAACAACCTATGTTGCTTCTACTGAGTTGATTGCGCTCTTGCTTGAAAAGGAATTTGGTTCTTTACACAAGTAGCAGAATATTTTGTGTTATGTATTGTCAGTTTCAATGCATTTATTATAGCTGTGATTAATAAAAGTTCAACAGAAAATGTGCCAATCTCATATGAAGGCATGGAGATTGTCTACTACTGGATGACGTAAACAGTCTTTTGTGCATTGCCTGCTGGTACTTAGGCTCCAAAAGCATATTGACCAGACAGTGTGCAAAGTCAGATAAATTCCTTTCCAGATCTTCTGCGCAGCCATGAGCTTGTATCAGCTCATCCTGTTCAGGCCAGTTCACTTCTGGTTTGGCCTAAATCCCTTCCAGTTGACCCAGGTGTTGCCTGGGTCTTACAGGTGACAGCATGCCACAATACTCTATAATTATATCTATCATAACTCTTCAGTTAAAATACTATCAGCCTTCAGTTTTCAGTAATGTATTTATTGTAATAATGTGTCTAGTGCTTAATGACGGTTAAACAAATGCATTTGTAGATAAGGCTCTCTTGATATTGTAAATTATGAAATGTGCAGCAAGGCTTTTGGATCTTACAATACAAGCAAGTCAAATACATTGAGTTACGGTTTGTTGTTAATAGGTTGGCTATGATATGACTAAGGAGGCTGCCAAAAGATGTTTTTCAAAAGCAGGCCTGAAACCTGAAGATGTGGATGTGATTGAACTTCATGATTGTTTCTCAGCTAATGAACTAATCACTTATGAAGCTCTGGGACTTTGTCCTGAAGGTATTATTTAATTCAGATAAATTTTTAAACCTTTATAGACACTTTGGTCACAGCACAGTGTGCTTAAGCTTCTGATTTTTGTGTTCCAAATAGAACAGCAGTTTGCAGGTCTCTCTCTAGTACTATAGTTATAATTTGCCTTGTAGAAACCAAGGCATTTATACCTTAAATTTCATAAACATTGTCTGGTTCTGCAGTCCAGTTCTCTTCAGCCAGTCCAGTGCCCTATACAGCAGGCTGCTTACCTGCTCTTTTTAAGGCCTCAGCTGTGGAAAGGGAGGGGGTTCGAGATTCATCCCATCCTCCTCCTTTCCCCCACCTGGCTGCTCTGCTGCCTGGAGCCTTGTCAGCGTCTCCCTGACTTTTGAAGGCCAGACTAAAAAAGCAGGTAGGGCCACCCACAACTTCCTGGCTCTCTCACAGGAGGGCCAACCCCTCCCCCAAGAGCTGGAATGCTGATTGAACAGTAGCTCTAGCCTCCTACATCCTTCTTTTAACCCCTTTGTTCCTTATTTAGCCCCATAATTGCCCTCCTGATCCCAGTTCCTTTGCTGGGCCAGGTCTCTGAGTTGCTGGCTGCTGGCCAAGTAGTCAGTGGGGCTCCTACCATGGCTGGAACACTACTGCCTAATGAGGTGACCAGCTGCTGCCCCCCAGTGGCTCTGCTCTGTCCCTAGTGGGAGTCAGGAAACCCCCAGCGCATATACCAAATGGTTTGCTAAATTATACGTTTTATGTTGTTAAAGTAAGTATTGCATCTCTCTCAGGTTTTCCAAAATGTTCTTGTTTTTTCAAGGAAAGACTTTTTTCCCATGGCTTCAAAATTTCCAGAAATGTTATATCTCTAGTGAGCTTGCCAGCTTGGTGGATAACACTAAAACTGTTCAAGATGGAGAAATCCAAAGGAAATAAAAAAACCACACATCACTTACATAGTTATTCATGCAGATCACATTAAGATCAGTGTAATGTGGAGCACATAACTTCATAGGATACACCAAGAGATCTCTTTCTAATGTAAATGTAATGGAAATTCCTTTGTCCAGCACTAAAAGTTGTTTGGAGTTAATGAGAAAAAATTGTTTAGACATTGGGTTTTTTTTTAAGCTTAGAGTATGTTTGTTTATCCCTGTTATAAAAAAGAAGCCTCTCTGCTGCTGAAGGTGAATCATGTTTAAATGGGTAGCTTGTTCTCCAGTTACTTTTATATGAGGACTGTGTATCTGTGTTGATCTCAAGCAGATCTCTTGAGAGGCGGCCTAGAAATTTAATAAATAGTATGATAGAAAAGATGAATCCTGGTAGTAGGATTCATACAAAGCCTCGTAACATGTTATGCACACATGCTTGGAACAAAAGACGAATGGCAGCTGTGGCGAGTGGCTGTTTGCAGTTGAAGGGAACACATAGATATGTGATGTTCTCTCCTTATCTGCCACTTGTTTATTTCAAATTGGCTCCACCAAGTCATTTTTCCCTTGTAGGATTCGATACATGATTTGAAATGGTAATAAGGTCTGGAACAATTTAAGTATACCTGTTTCCCCTCTGGAGCCTTCCCTGCTGAAGCTGCTTTCCCCAAGGAAAAGCTGTTGCTGTTGCTGTTTTGTTTTTGGTTAGGTTTTTGTTGCTGGGTTGTTTTGAACATGTTTAGTGGAAGAGATCAAGTTCCAAGAGATCAAGAGATTTAGTTCCAAGAATAAAATGAACTGTGAAATCCCAGAGTATATACTTCAAAATAGTCACTGCATCATTGCCATGATGGCTAATGGGTTGTTTCCAAGTACTGTTTGTTAATGAAGCACTAGTTAGTACATTTAACATACATTTAGGACTTCCCAGCATTTTTCTTTATTGAGGGAGAGGAAATGGCAGACAGTACCATGAATTGAAGCATGCATTGAAATCTGACTATGCATGTTGAACATGTTTCATTCCTTTCAACTTAATAATAACTATTTACAGAGCATCTAAGGGAGGCATCTGTAATAATTAGAGAATCGAGGGATTTTATATTGCTAATCGTGAATAGTCTTTTTCCTCTCTTTTTTAAAGGCAAGGCTGGTGAGCTAATTGAAAGAGGAGATAATACTTATGGTGGAAAATGGGTCATAAATCCAAGTGGTGGCTTGATTTCAAAAGGGCATCCACTGGGTGCTACAGGTACTTCCTTAAAGGCTTTTATCTTTTTCTATTGATTTTAGCATCTGCAGGTAGGAAATATGATATACTTTAAAAAAACAGCAGAGAATGTGGGAGATCTTCTTTTGGTGTAACACTGTGATCAGCAACTTCTAGATTTTGTGATTTTGATGGGAGCAGGGGGAGAAAGTATGACAGGCAACATTCTGCAAGCATTCCTAAAGTACGTTGCCTTTGCATCCTCTTCTCTTTCTCCTTACTTCAGGAGTCAGCATGTGGTGGGGAGGAGTGGAATGCCTTGGCCTGGCAAATGGTAGAGTAGGCAACATCCCCTTAGGATAAGATTACTGATTGCTAAACAGGATTTTTAATTGTTTAGGGCTGCTTTCTGCATCAGCATTTCCAACACAAAGATAAATTAGAATGCAGCATGAGTCTCTCTCTCTTTCCTTGTCCTGAGTGTATTAGATAGCCACTAGTCACTGCGTATATTGACTGCTTGACTGATATACTGCCAAGGAGAAAATACATGCTGTATATTAAACACTGAAGTGTATGCTGTTGGTCGTACATGGAGATTGCTTTCCTCCTAAAACTGTTGCATGCACCACTTCGTATGATTGTTAAACTCATTGAACAAACGTTATGGTTCTTGTCATATTTAATCAGTTAGTGCTTGGGGAATGACAGAGGATGCCTCAAGGAAGTATCATCTCTCTACGGTGTCACTGATGACTTCATTTAGTATGCTAATGATAAAGCTGTTGAATAAGTTCTTTCATTTGTTTAGATTAACCAAATTCCACATCACTCTTTTATGACCATCCTGAATTATACTTCAGTGTAAGCACAAGAGATTAATATTTGTTTTTGTGATAGTCTCATTAATCAACTCAGTCCTATGGCCATCAGCTCACATGGTCCACATATAATCAGTCATTCATACAGGGAATATTAGGGAACAGTGAAACCACGATAGATTTGCTGTAATCTTAAATATTCAGTAGCCATGAGTGACCCTTGCCTCTAAGTGTGCCTAAGTTTGTGTTTGTATGGAAAACTGTTTTAATCCTTTTTTAATCCTATTTTAAAACCAGAGTATGCTGTGAGCGTATCTATCACCAAGAAGTTTATATATAAATGGAGACAATTTTTTAAAAAATAGGTACTGCTTATTTTTCTGTGCCTGAAGATAGAACTTGAATACCTGTGCCTGCTTAGGAAGTTCCTGCAAGAGTTTCTTCAGAGACCCAAAGAAAATGTCGGAGGGATAGTCATGTTTGTCTGGATACAGTAAAAAACAATGAAGAGTCTGGCAGCGCCTCTGACAGAGCTATGCCAGCCTTACCATGTGTGGGTTAGAGTGCATCAGCTACATGAAATGTTATCCTTAGCGGAGTATTTTTTATATTTAGTTTTACACACACTCATTCATGCACAAGGAGACATGTAGGGTATAGTTGTAGACCATACACTTGTGCCACAATAAAGCTGTTACCGTAAAGTGCCTGAATTCCATTTTTGGTGAATTAAAACATGCAGTTATAACTTCTTGGTAACAAGCAGCAGTATGGGTGTCTGTAGAAATCCAAACATTGGGATCATTGGTATCATATAACTAGTATTGTGTCCCATTGGGTTGTGGCTCATGTTTCTTAAATAGTAGTCCTCCATGCTATGTGGCAGACCACTTATGAATTGGGAAAAAGTTTCCAAAGCAGTTTGTGATATGGCACGTGGCTTTACTGTTCAAAGGAAAATAACATAAAATGCCATTAGATTTGTCAAGTGGTCCTAAAGTGGCTATTAGGATCAGAGATGAAATCTTTAGAGCATGAAAAATAGGCATATGTTAAAGTGTATATGCTTGAAACCTATATTCACTGTCATTGCTTCCTCCTGTTCTTTAAGTTTTCTCTTTCCTTATGATTGCATCAGCCTGGCCTTATTACTCATAATAATGGCTTTCAAGTCACCACCCTTGGAGTGATCCTGAGAGTTTTAGTTCCATACCCACCAATTAAGTTTAGTTCTTACAAGACTGAATTGAGCATTTCTTTTCCAAATGGCTTCAGGAGAATTTTCTCTTGTGTGAGTTAGGAGGCTTCATATGGTTGAGAAGTACACATGGGAAACCTTTTCAGCAGTAAGGCCAGAGCAACCACGGAACCTTTATCATTGGTTGAAAAGCTGAAGACAATTTGTATAATCAGTTGCATGACATTAACTCAACTGGAATGCTTTTTGAACATCATGGATGGGAGACAAATCTGTTTATCCAGCAGTATATCGAATTTGAAATTGCCATTTTTTAAAGATATGCTTAACTAATCTTCAGAATCTTGACTGTTGATGATGATACAATTTAGGTTGTTTCTGACCTTCTCTCTCCATCCACTCCCCATTCCACTCAGATAGCTCTGCAACCATGCATACTAAAACCAAAGCTGCTCATAATTGACATGCTGACTGTATTTTGCCCACCGTTCCTGGGCCAGAATCACATGGATTTGGAGTGCATTGGGTTCTTGTTCTGTGCTCTTATCCAGTCTTAATAATTCCTCTAGGAAGTTGCAAGAAATTAAAATTATACTAATGATCGGTCATGGCTTAAAAATACTGAACCTTAAGATCAAAGTCATTTATTAACTACCTTGAATTGTTCTTACTGATTGCTCACATAGAAGACTTTGTTCTGTTGGTTACTCTTGTTGAGCTGGTAAGTAATCTGGATATTGAGAGTTCAAGTGGTGGGTGAGTTCCAGTGTCAAGGATTCTATTCAGATTAGAAGTTTGGATTTAGTTTTTTTCATTCCTTTAATTCAGTGTGCGTGATAATGTCCATGTCTTATGTTGGCTTTTATCCCAGAAGCTGCCTTGAGTGTTGGAAAGATAAGAGAACTTTAAAAAATAAATAAAAATAAAGGACTGTTTGGTCAAAGTGACACAATCTTCGACAGTGCAGAAAGCTCATTGTCATTCTCTAGCCAGCAACAGGTTTTTAGCACTAAGGCTGTAGATGGAATGATTTCTGTACAGACAAAATTCTTCCCCCCAACACACACGACTTTGGATTGGATCCAAAGATGGGTTTCCACTCGGTGTAAAGATTTTCTGTCATTATAAAACTCTTCCATTAGCGGGGGTGGGGGGGGGACGGGACGACACGACCTCCACTGATTTTCCCTGTCTGAATTCAGACCTTTGGTTTGTTCCCTGTACCCTAGGAGCAGCACTTTGGCTAGTTTGTGTGTGTTTTGGAGGGGGGCAGTTCTGTTAGTGTAGCTCTGCGGATAGTACTCTAGATCCATTCCCTTGTTTTGCAGGTGATGCTGGGAGCTAAGGTACATAGTATTTACAGATATTTGTTTAAATCAAGCCAAAGCATAAGGAGTTGTTTGCCAGTACTGAGAAACTGATACAAATCTCTGAGAAAATCATTGTTGTGTGATTGAGATATAATAGCACAATGAGTCTGTGCTATGCATTGAGCTTCCTAAAGAGGCTTACCTCAAGCCAAAACCCACCGTTGCTCAGAACACACCTTGTGAGGGAATTCCTTGTGAACGAAATACATTCCTTGTGAGGGAAAGATTGTAAGAAAATCCACAAGGCATCAACATCTGGTGGTGTAAATTGGATTGTTATGGCTTTTAATTGGTTTTAGTGTGACATTACTTAGGGTTGCCAGCCTCCAGGTGGGGCCTGGAGATCTCCCACTTTTACAACTGATCATCAGCTGACAGAGATCAGCTCCACTGGAGAAAATGGCTGCTTTGGAGCTCGGACTCTAGCATTGTACCATGCCGAGGTCCCTCCCCAAACCCCTCCTCCTGGATCCACCCCCAAAATCTTCAGGTATTTTCCAACCCAGACCTGACAACCCTATTACTACAAAATAAAACACAATAAAGTTTGTAAATTGCCTTGAAAATCTGAAAATATGGAGATACTAGAAGCTTTCGGTGTGACACAGCTTGATGACACTTTGTCCTTGTGTTAATTGACACTGGGTTCCTTAAAAAATTATAGCAGAAAATATTCAAACTCTATAGCAAAAAGTCCTCTGTAGAGAAATCTGGGAAATCAAACAATCCGTTTGCAGCTATTATTTTTTTTGCTTTAAAAGAGCACAGAATGCTAATTCCTCTATTCATACATCACACTTGAATGTTTCTTTTAACCTGAAATATTTGTCTTGATGTTTGATTCCAATTAACTTGCCATTCCCTTTCACCTCCTTTCTTAAGGGCTGGGCATAAGAGAATGACGCTGCTCTTGAAATAGAGGCTGATCTATATACTCTGTGTTTGATGTATTAGGTCTGGCTCAGTGTGCTGAACTCTGCTGGCAGCTAAGAGGAGAAGCCGGAAAGAGGCAAGTTCCCAGTGCAAAGCTTGCTTTGCAGCATAACCTAGGCCTTGGCGGTGCTGCAGTGGTGTCCCTGTACAGGATGGGCTTTCCTGAAGCTGCAAGGTGAGCTGTTACGTCTCTTTGTACAAACAATTTGTCCATACCTCTGAAGGAGCACTAGTTTAAGTGTGCTAATCTCTGTTTTGTATATGGTCCTATACACGAGTGCCACTTAATGACTATATATAGTTGTTCAACTATAATGTGATCTTAAATTACTTTCCTTGCCTTAATACCAAACTAAAAAATAAGTTGTTGGGAAATCCTCTTGTTGCTTTAGAGCAGGGGAGAATGTTGGTTTTCAAAGAAAGGCTTTACTCAGCATTTTCTAAAGGATAACTACTCTAATTTCTGCAGCTGCTGGAAACTTTCATGGTGGTTTTGGACAGGGTTAGAAGACATTGTGGTTTTTGTTCCCCTTCTGTGTTTCTCCTTCCATGGGGTTTTCCCTGAAAGTAAACAACCGTTAAAGGAATGTGCAAAATTAATAGTTACAAAATTGAGAGAAGTAAAAACAGGCAATGTTTTTCAAAACAGAGGTTTTAAGCCTGATGCCTCTAATTTCACAGTAACTACTTATACACCGCAAATAAGCCCCCCCCCCTCCCAGTCTGGTGTTCTTTTTATATTTGGAAGTTGTCTTTTCAAACAACCCCATTTTCTTGCATTTTCAACTTTTAATTAGAAGTCTTTTATGACTAACAAGAGTTTAATGCTTTGTTAGTATACATTCTTGCTGACACTGAGGAGGGTGACTGGTATTTTTCTCTTAAATAAGAGTTGAGGTTTTCTTTAATTATGTATTTAAACAAAGTTTGGTAGAGACAACTAAGGGCCTTAAAAGAGGCTCTCCAGGCAATAAGTGGTTTGGGGGAAGTTTCCGTAAAACATCAAAGCAGATTTAGAGATGTTTAATTCATGTGAGTGTGAGAGAGCAACTCTGATAGCCATCAACTTAATGAAAGGTATAGCAAAGACTATTAGGGTTTGCCTGTTTCAGGGGTGGGGAACCCTTATGTGTGGGAGTTGCTGCTATTTGCAAAGTACTGTGAGCAAAGAGATACATTTGCACCCCATTAATGTGTACGTTTGTGCATTCACTTATGCAGTTTGTCATATCTCCATAATCTGCAAATCATTTCAAGCTGGGGCAGTGAACTATACTCACAAGGAATTTGAGAAACTTGCCAGTTTTTCAGTTCTGGAATACCACACTAATGCCTCACCTTTATTAATTCTCAGATTGTACCTGTTTTTTAATGAGCCAGAGTGGTAATGGTTTTTCACAGTAGAGTTTAGGTGGCTTGGATGTGCACATGAGGCTCCAGAATGAAAATTAAGACAAGGTATACCATTATGGTGTTTGTAGCCTAAAGTTGTATATTGGGAGACAGGAGCAGAAGAGTTAGTGAACTCGTCTGTGGAGGAAAGTAAGTTGTCAGGAGAGACTCAAAATGTAAAGATGGAGATATAAGTAAATAAATAAATACAAAATGTTTGTATCCTGAAGTCTCAGTCACTCCATTTCCAAGTTGGCTAACTCTCATAAAACAATCCGTACATACCATGATGAGTATCTGAAACCCTGAAGTATAAACAGTGTAACAAGCAACAGAGTAAAAATTAACATTAGCCACATTACTAAACTATCTTCTAGTTAAACTAATAACTAGTTAGTCCCAGTCTCCATACTGTTTTTAGCAATCAGGGATGTATAATAATTGATGTATTAATTATAATAACATAAGAAAGCTTCCTGCTAGATCACACAAGTGGTCCATCTATTCCAGCATTCTGTTTCACACAGTGGCCAAATGGCCATGGAAGGCTGGTATACAGGACACAGAACTTGAGGTCTTCCCCTGGTCATAACACTGACGTCCAGATGGTTTTTGCCTCTGTATCTGGAGGTTTTGCAAATATGTCTAATCCCCTTTCAAAGCCATCTATGCTTGCAATCACTATATCCACTGGCAGTATATTCTGTGGTTTAATTACTTGTTGACTAAAGAGGTGTTTTCTTTGGTCTGTTCTGAATGTATTGCCCATCAGCTTCATTAGGTGTCCGCATGTGGTAGTATTATGAGAGGTAGAAAATGTAAAAATTCTGGTTGGAGTTCTCATTTTATAGCTGTGAAACATAGCCACCTTTCACCTATTTTCACCCAACAGAAATAACACAACAACCTCAGTTGCATAACCGAGCTAAATGATCAGATAAAAGTAATTGTGCAATTTGGTGATGGAGTAGCCACTGTGGAAAAATAAGGTCACTATAAGCAAAACTGTCATAAAGTTGACTTCTATGTTTTTGAAAGGAACTAAGACATAACATTTTGACATTTATTTATTTATTCACTTTACTGTCCACCTTTCTTGTTGAGACCCAAGGCAGATTACAAAATTTAAAACAATGTAATATGGACAGTATAAAACATGTAATAAACAGTGTATGAAGAAGAGGAGGGGGAGAGGTAGGGATTTATACCCCGCTCTTCACTACCCAAGGGAGTCTCAGAGTGGCTTACAAATTCCTTTCCCTTCCCCTCCACACAACAGACACCCTGTGAGGTAGGTGCGGCTGAGAGAGCTCTGACAGAAACTGCTCTTTTTCACGAACAGCTGTGCCAAAGCTATGGCTTGGCCAAGGTCATCCGGCAGGTGCAAGTGGAGGAGTGGGGAATCAAACCCGGTTCTCCCAGATTAGAGTCTGCGCACTTAACCACTATGCCAGACTGTCTCTCAAAGATACTTTGTAAAACTATGAACATAAAACCATGAAAACAGTAAAATTGTAGGACATGGCATACAATAAATGCAAAAGGCAGGATTACAGAAATTAGGAAACAGTGCAATAAAAACAAACAATGCATACCATAAACAGTTCTTTAAACTATAGCCCTTGTTCCTTTGTATAAGCGTCGTCCTGAAAATTCCATTTTATACATTCTGTGCACTGAATGCATTCATACATGCATGCATACATTCTGTACAATGATAGATGGGTGGGTGTTTTCCTGACATCCTCGGGTAGGCCACTATGCATGGGAGGCCTAATCCTTACTTAGTCATATAGTTCACCTTGGGCAAGTACCTCTCAATCACTCTCATAGGATTTGTGAAAGGATGAAACATCAAAGAAACAGTTTCCAGAGGGGTAGCTGTGTGGGCTTTGAAGTGCCATGCAGCTCTTTGTTGTTTTGGCTATAGCAGAGACTGACTCATTTATTATGCTTTCATGGCTCAAAACCTGTTTCAGCAGATGGTCAAAGTCAGTTGGTAGAGACCCAACTGACCCAATTTTGTCCTCTCTCTTCAGTGTAGTGTACTGGTTAGAGCATCAGAATAGGCTTGGAGGAGACCCAGGTTTAAAGCTCCACATGCTGGGCCAGACATTCTCTCTCAGCCTAACCTACCTGGCAGGGGCTGCAGTGCTGATAGCATTTGGGGAGGGGAATAAATACTCTTATGCTGCAATAAACTTGCTATTCCTTATGTCACAATGAAAAACTCTTGTAGCATCTTAAAAATATTGCCCATTCTGATTGCCACCCTAGCTATAGAGTGGAAAGTAGACTATTCCAAAAATACTAATCTAGTTAGATCTCCCTATCTTTCAGTAATTCCAGAATAACTTCTGTCATTGCAGATGTCGGCAAATCCAAGCTGTTCCTACCAACGCAGCTGTTGATGGGTTTAAGGCAAGTCTTGTCTTCAAAGAAATTGAAAAGAAACTCCAAGAGGTACAGAACTTGATAAAACAATCTTAAGCAATAGAAAAATTAGAATATTGGATTAACTTTCAAAATAGTGAATCTTGTTATGTTGTAGGAATGGAGCGACAACTACTGCAGCACCTTTGTTTCTAAATCTGTTAGCCCGTTCGTGGGGAGGCCGGGGTATAAATTGAATTAATAAAACAAACAAAAATAAAATTTGTGTTTTTCCTTCCAGTGATCTGTATCCATCCCTTTATGTGGTTGGCTGCGTTCAGTAGCAGTTCACTTCTTCCTTCTTCCTTCTCCACCCAAGAGCTGGAGCAACTAATGGTTCTCCCTGCCAGGCAACTTGAGAAACAGCACACCAAGTTGCACATGCTCAGTAGAAAGACCTTGAATTTGGAGAGTGATGGAGGAAAGA